CTCACTCCGTACGGCAAAACCTAACCCAAGCTAGCCCTTGCTATAGCATCGTCACGGATAGTGGTTCTCCCGATGGGCCACCCCATTCACACTCATCTAATCAATCCTAAATCAGGAACCCTACGGGCGTAGACATGTAACTTTGGGACTTCACCGGACCACCACCCCCACCACCCCCACCACCCCCACCACCCCCACCACCCCCACGACCCCCACCACCCCCACCCCACCTCGACCCCCACCCACCACCACTGCCGCCGCCGCCACCAGCACCACCACCACCATCACCACCACCAGCACGAGACCTAGACTTAGACACCACGACTGCCACTACCAGACCATGCAAACCACCAAAGCATCACCGCCACCACCACTGCTGACTGCCACCATGACCACCCCTGGCTGCAGCATGCTGCAGCTTGGAGTCTGGGAACCAGGCCCACTGGAAGACTCCAGGTTGCGGCTTTGATCCTGGACTGCACGGAGCTCAGTGCCAGAGTCCTACCATTGCTGTGCGTTAATGCCGCGAACCTATGCCAGGCAAGGAGGAGTGGCAGCTGTCGAGGACAACCGTTGCCTTGCCTCGGTCTTGCAAAATGCCCATAGAGTCATAGAGCACTACACAGAACTCAGCTGGACAGTCTGAACCGAGCACTGCACATCCTGATGGAAGCTTGGAGAGGGCCTGCGAGACCTCCATCAGCGCCACCAGCCTGCATTGGAGAAAGTCAACAGAAATCTCTGCAGCTCACTTCACACGATGTCCTAACCTGTAGCCACCAGTATCACCGGTCCCTGCACGACTCAAAGCCTTAGCGTGGCTCACTCTTGCTTTTGAATCTGCGATGCTCCGTGGTCGCTGGGATTGTGTTGCAAATCTACTCTTCTGCATCTTTGCGTATCTCTAGACCAGATGGAAGCAAGGGCCCGACAGCATAGTCAATGGGAACGAGGCAAGCTTCAAAGCTTCCCACGCCTCAGCTAGGCAGTGCCGATGGCAATGTTGCGTGCTGGAAATGCAAGAAGTTGAAGCAGGTACCAGGAACGAGTCAGGCTGCACAAGTACTGCACAAGCTGGGTGGCTCAGTGCTGTGCCATGCGGCAGGAGTACTCCATAGCCTGGAAGGGGAAAGTCTTTTCAGATGGACATGTCTTGCCTTCAGAGCTCGCAATAGTTGCCATGCTTTGAAGACGCAGGCCTGCAAAGTAGAGGAAGACCTCATCGCCGGGAAGCGCATCGGCAGCAAGCCACTGCAAGCCTTGCAAGCTTCTGCTGAAAGCCACGGAAAAGGAATTCAATGTTCTTTTTCGTGTAGGCCTTCCATGATGGTGGCAGCAGTTGGCCGGCGCTGGGGAGGCATCGGGCAATTTCGCGTGCCATCCACTATGAAGCGAACCTGGCTCAGTGCAAAGCTTTTGCAAGTGCGGCCATGACCGGGAAGCTTTGGGCTTAGGGCTTAGGAAGAGGCATGTTGCCTCCCAACTCAGCTCCCCTGGCCTGGCTCTCTGAAAACTGGAGTGTATGTCGAAGTAGACTGAGAACCTGAGTCCACCATCACTTGGCTACATGACAGTTCAGAGAACGTTGTTGTTGTCCCCTCCTACTTTGATTGCAGATCTTGTGAGCGAAACAGCTAAAGCTCAAGCATTCGCCAAGTACGTTGTTTAAGTGGGCCTCTGAAAGCATATACTCATCTTCATAGAGAGCAGGTTGAGCCGCAGGCATTCCAGGCATCATTTATGGTTCCCTTCAGCGGTGCATTCCTGAGCTCACAGCCCTGAACGATTCCTTTCAGATCTCTGGGCGCTTGCAGGCTCCCGGCGACTCGAAGTAGCTGCAACCGATGATCAGTGCCTTTCGCCGACTGGCATGCGCCCTGAGGCAAGGCCACACTTAAAGTGTCCCAGGATGGAAGCATGGGATGTAAATATCGAGTATGCTGGGATGCCCACGGCAAGGGCAGCGAGGAGAGCACCATACCATGCAAGGCTGCTGGGACAGATCGAACCATCTGAAGCACCAAAATATCCAAAATGCACAAATTCTCCAAAGCTTTGGCAAAGACCTGGTCTTTCTGGGAACCAAGCCTTATGCTGCTCAACCTCGCGTCGAGGCTCCTGAGGCTGTAACTTTAAGACTGGGCAAGTCAATGCTTCTCAGCTGCTCTGCTCTTATGCTTTGTGCAGCTCGTAGGCACATGGTCTCATTCTCAAAGTACCAGAAAACACTTGCAGGTTTGCCTCTTCACGCCCTGGTGCCAAGCGCATCACCTGACCAAGCAATAAGCACGCACCACCACAACCACAAAACACAGATCCACAGGGCACACCCTCGGAGATCTAAAGCCCACACTCCTCTTTTGAGATCTCAGTAGCTGCTGAATGGCACTGTCGTATGCTTCAGGGCTTGCTTGCAGACGTGTCTGCCGCATCTGGTCCAGCAGCCTCAACCCCTGCTGCTTGGAGTGGGACCATTGTGCAGCAAAAGCACTTATGTACATGAATTTCGCTGTCAAGAGTCGCATGGCATTCAGACGAGTCCAGAGATGGATAATCTGGTGCCATTGGCCAGCATAGTCCAGGCCAGTCTGAAGCGCAGCAAAGCTTGTCTGCAAAGGCGTCGCCTCTGCCTGTTCTGCGGCCTCACTACCCTCAGCTTTGCCGCAGGCCTCTTTGTCGGTAGGGCTGCAGGCCGCATCTGAAAGCAGCGCCGTGTGGTTCTCTGCAAAAACGGAGATGGCTACAGGCCAAGAGGAGCACTCTGCACAGGCGTAAATGATATGGTTTGAGTTGAAGAAGCCAGTCTGTGGGCACGAAGCTCGCAGCTCCTCTTGGGCAGCCAATGACATCTCCCATTCGCGTTGCTTTGCACACGCGCTGATCACGAGATTGTAGCTCGTCATGTCCAGCCGTATTGCGCACGCACGGCTCTGAACAAACAACCACAATGCTTGCTGCCACTCCCCAGCTCGTCTGCACGCACTCAGCGCAGCATTGAACGAAATCGCATCCGCCTCCCCCTCTGGATGTGCCTCAAAGGCTCGCAAGGCACATGCCCATGCGCTGGCCTCACTGCAGGCGCCGATCAGGGAATTTGTCATCACCTGCACTGGGCCCGGGCCCAGCTTCTCTGAGAGCTCGGAGTGGATGCATAGAGCCACCGGCCAGGTCTCTGTGCCACGGAAGGCCCTCAGGCCCGCGTTGATTGTTCCCACATTCAGCTCCAAACTCTGGCTCCGGGCGTCCGCGCAAAGCTCCAAGGCCTGGAGCCAGGCCCTGGCATCCCCGCAGGAAGCGAGCGCCGAGCTGTAAGTGATGGAATCCAGCTTCAGGTCACGTGACATCTTTACAAGAAGCCGAAGTGCTCCCTCCCATTGCCCTCCAGACTCTCCGGACCCCAGCGCGTGCATCATGATGTTCAAAGCAAACGTGGTCATCTGGGTCTTCTGTATTCCACTATAAACTGAAAATGCTCGTTGCCACTCGCTGGCCGCGCCGCAGACACTGATGAGCGCACAGAGCGTAACCAAATTAATCTCCACACTGTTTGAGGACATACGCCCCAGCAGCTGCATCGCAAGATCCCACTGCCCAGACACTTCACACGCAGAGATCGCAGACGAGTAGCTGACGGTGTTTGGGTAAAGCTGTTGTTCAGCAGATTCCTGCAACATCCAAATTGCAAGTTCCCAGTGACCATCTGCCCTGCAAGCTGCAATGGCTGAGTTGTAAGATACCAAAGTCGCTTGGACCTCCATCTTTGCCAACTGACGAAGGATCTGCAAGGAAAGAATCCAGCTGTCACAGCAAGCATTTATGGCTGTGTTGTAAGTCACCACATCCAAGCGCATTTGCCGAGAAGAGACCTCGTCCACTAAATGCAGAACTTGTTGCCACCGGGCAGCTCTGCCACAGGCACTCGCTGCTGTGTTGTATGTTACGATGTCACTTTCCATCCGCTGCTGCTGAGCAGATTTCAGTACGCACAGTGCAGCCTGCCATTGACCAGCCCTCTCGCATGCGGAGATCGAGGCGTTGAAAGTGATGAGGTTTGTTGCCAACTGGTTTGAAGCAGTTTGGAGCAACAGCAGGGCCATCTGCCAGCAGGCGAGATGTCCGCATGCGCTAATACTTGTGTTGTACGTGATAGTGTCGCAAGGCACTTGGTTTGAAACCATCTCCTGCATGAAGTGTAGAACCCATTGCCATCGCCCCGATGCCCGAGTTGCACAAATAACAGTGTTGTATGTGACGTCTGTGGGGTGCAGTTGTCGATGCTTAGCATCGTCCAGCAGCTTTCGAACGGGTGTCCACTGCTCAGCCCTCTCGCAAACGCTCATGCAAGCATTGTATGAGATGATATTGGGCTGCGCACTCCTTGCGCTAGCTTCTTGCAAAAGGCTTATAGCTGTCTGCCACGAAGACCTTTTTCTGCACTCGGTGATGGCTTGATTGAAGTCAATGATTTGCGACACACGAGCAGCTGGGCTGGCTGGGGTGGTAGTGATGCATCCAGCTGAAGTGATGACCTCCAGGCTGGGAACTTGCAGTGGCAGCATGGCAAAAATATCCGAGTTGAACATGCTCCAAAGGACATCTGCAGCAAACGTTCAAAATTGCTGTGGCTCTTGCCAGCGGGAAAGCGAATTCAAGCTTGAGACCAGGCCGAGAATCAAGCTGCTGATTGTGCCGATGTTGTGCCTATCCCTGCCACTGCGGAATGACCCTTCATGGAAACTGGCTTAAGTTATTGATAGTTATTTAATGATCACAGAGACGTCAAGCTGGCTATGGCCTCAGAAACGCGCTCCAGCTCCTGTAGCAGCCTGTCCCATGCAGAGTGTTGAGCTAAGAATCAAAAGGTTTCAAACCGCCTCGTCTCACAGCTTGTGCTTCGGCTTTTAAGGTCGTCAATCTCAGCCTGCACCACACAAAGACACCATCGGATTGTACTCCCAAATTGCCGGGCTCTTGCAGCCTGCAGGTCTGCGCGACATTTCGCCACCTGCAACAGGAAGACCGCGCTTTGGAGCGATCAAAAAAATTCATCTCAGCATATCTCAGCCTGTTCTGTCAGCTGCCTGCACGACGTGCACAGGATGAACCGGTGAGTCAAGACCAATTGAACCGCGATTGCATTGTGAAGGCCACATGAGGATGCAGCAGGGCCATGCAGGACGCATCAGAGCAGTTCATCAATGTCTTCAAAATCTAGAGTCTACAATCCCAGGACCAACTTGGAAGCTGACCCATTGGAGGCCGCAATGAAGCTCTGCTCAAGGTGCTCTGTCCTGGCTAGTCTTGATGCTAGCTTGATGTTGCTATAAGTAGTAGTATGGATAGCACTGCAGACACGGACTGCTTTCCATTAGCTGTCCCAGAATTTGTCCTCTCAAGTGCAGTCTGGATCATCTCCTGATCAAAGGTCTGGCGACGTTCATTCTTTGACCCCGATAGCATCGCTACCGTATACGTGTATCTACCAGCTGGGGTAAAGCTTGTCGAACTGAAAACGCTGAACCAAACTGCAGATGCCAACCTGCCTCCAAGTGGACCTCAGAGACAAGGCACAACTCTCAAGCGACGTTGGGGGACAGTGCACACGACAGGCGCATGACGTCCTTGGTGGACTCTCCAGCACTGAGGGCCGGAGCAGCCTTCATAATGCCAATCTCTGCAAAAGTATGCGCGCAGCACCAGCTTCTGCATGCCGCACCAAGCCTCCTGCACGGCCTTGCACACTTCCTGCGCGCAAGTTTCTCTTGGCTTGCCTGCTTTATCATACCATCAAGTGGTGCTCTGCCCTCATGTCCTCCATGCGCTCTGCAGTGGCTGTAGCCAGCACCATAAGCTTTGTGAGCTCTGCACGCAGCTGGGCTTCCACTGCCTGCAACTGCAACAAAACACCTTGCTTTAGAAACCTCGAGGCTTGCCTCGAGGCGATCCGAAACAACGTGCGTCAGCTGCACGCACTCGCCCAAATCCGCACGGGTCTGGGCCAGGCGCTCCTGGAGACTTGCAATGTGGCGTGTATCTTCAGCACGCTCAACAAGCTACCCTTCGTCTCTGCTCAGCGAGACCAAGCACTTGTCAGACTTTTCCAATGTGATACCGCAACAGCGAACTTAGCATCTGGGGGGAGTCGCAACAGTCAAAGACGCAAGTGAGAGCTGCCCCGCTGGGCAGCAGGTCATCGACCATCTCAGACATTTCCCGCTCCCTGATAGGACCAGCTTGGCGCCAGTCACTCGGCAAAAGCTCCGCATGGTCCCCATGACCAGCAAACAACAAGAAAAGCTGTAAAGGGGAACCCTCAGTCACGTCTTGGCCACCACAGCAACCTCGATGCGGATCTTGGTTTTTGGTCGCACTGCCAGTAAGCAGCCAGTGAATATGGGCGAGTATGTTACTCCGTGAAGGTAAGTTGGCGTCAGATGCATCGCTCAGAATACGCAGATCATGCTCCTTGACCACTTCTTGCTGCAGCAGCCATGATCTCATGTCCCGCACATCGTTCCAGGAGCCCTCGAGTTGCACCTCCTCATCCTCTTTGTAGCAAACACCGATCAGCAGGGCTCGGGCAAGTCTCGATGGTGCCATGGCAATGTCCAGCCGGTCCTGGAAAACCGCCCGCGAGCTCCTAAGGCTCACTTTTGCATCGTAGCCTGATCGCTTGAGTGCGGCCAGCATTCGAAGCTGCAGCTGCTCCAAGGATATGGCTCCCCAACCCCTGCCAGCCGCCTGCAACACAGCCAGAAGAGCTTGGGTACAAAGGCCTCCTCGCTTGTCACCCCAGAGCCCATGGGTCGAAAACAAGGAAGGCAGGTAAAACCAGTGAAAGGCTGAAGCTTCCGGCTCTTCCGATGCTTCAGAACTTTCCTGCAAAGCACTTTCTGCAGCGATGACCAATACCAGCCTGCTACCATCTCCGTTTAGGCCATGTCCCAGAAAGCCACACGCGCGTAAGACACTTTGCAACACCATTCGGGATGACTCTGCAGCCTGTGCTGAATGACCCTGGAACACTTTCACGCCCACATTCCTACAGATATGTGTGTTCCAATCTGCTCTTGCAGGTCCACTACAGAAAGTGATTTGTATGCTGACCGTTTGTGTTTCTTGCTTCTGGCTGCATGCCGTACAATGAGAAGTCAGAAGCGTGGAAGCACTTGGCTTGAGCAGAAGGCACCAATACCTGATATCATCCCTTCCCACTCTGCAGAGGAAATTGGGTCCTGCAGCTGCGATTCCAGATTGTCCGTCCTAAATTTGCCATGATTCACTCCATGCATCAGATCTTTAGTCTCAGGCCAGGACTGCTTGGCACCAGCATCTCCCTCCTGGGATACCTGCCACATGACGTTGAAAAAACACTCTGATGCGGCAAAGCCAAGTGACTACCTTACATGCCAACGCCTCTTTTCTGCTGCCGCGCTGCAGCACATGAACATAAGGCATCTCTACTCGCCGAGACACTTGCTTGTGGTGCTACCTCACGAGCCTGTGCACTGTGCAAGGAAAGGAGCCACGATCTTCCGAGCCACATCATTCGTCTTCTCAGGCGACACACAAGCTGTTGTGCACACAGCACACAGCCAGCAAGTCGTGAGGACGGCCTACTCGCAAGGCGAGTGGAAATCTTCTTCAGTGTCCCTCATGCGATGGCCCGGAAGTGGGGGACAACGCTGTCATACAGGATACCACACATGCCTACAGGTCAGGCACATTCTTTAATCTCGTATCGCCACTGTATCCCCCGGCATGCCCAAGCTGGGAATATCAGCTAAGCCGCCACACACTTTGACTTTCTTAGGGTCTCCGGTGCAAGCGGTGCCTGGGACTGGCGTGCTTCAAGAGTGATGTAAAACACCCTTAGCATCAGCGTCATGCCAAGATTCCTTTTTCAGGTTGCCTGTCCCAACCACATTGCTGCGACTCGTCCACATCATTGCGAAGAAGGCGAATTCGGCCACCCTGAGGTTCTAGAGTGAACGTGCTGTGCTTGACATGACAGAAGAAGAGGACGTCAGCGCTGGCCTCTCCCCAGCTGTTGCCCCAGGAATTCTGTATCAGGTAGAACTTGTCTCCGGACTTTGGATCCTTGCCATAACCAATCAGCGTCACGGCGTGATCGATCACAGAGTCCTCTCGCAAGCGGACAGGAAAAACAGCGTGCATCCCTCAGTTCAGGAGACAAACGCCCTGCTTCAGTACTTCTGTTGATTTTCTGGCTAAGATGTACATTCAAAACGAAAGCTGATTCGTCACGAACAAGACATGATACCTGTTCCGACCTGTGTCTTCTCTAGCTCGCATTACTCACATCTGCCTGAACCTCCCGGCAACTTGAATCAGATAACTCCCTTACACAACAAAAATCTCAAAAACAAAAACCAGCAAGACATCCGCAGTGCAAGTATTCAACTCTGGCAGATTCAGAATCTGCAAGCGCTTTGCTTGATCACGCGTGGCTGCTTTGCAGTCTGAAGCACATCTGCTTCCCTGCAAGCCGTGCAAGAGTTTGCCGGCCAAACCGGCCAACCGCTGCCTGACGTTCTGATGTTCTGTGGTTTCCCGCACGCTGCTCTTTAAAAAATCGGCGTCCATTAGCATCTGTCCAATCTAGGAAAGTGACATGTCACTGCTGGCTGTATAATTGGCGATGCTCCACACTTTGGACGCGAATATATGTTCTCAGTGCTGTCTGGCAATTCCAGTCCTTGACACAATGATCAAAGATTCCAGTGGCATACAAGTGCCTCAGCTTCAGCTGCGTGCATGCACTGACACACAAAGCAAAAAAATGGCAGTACCACCCCCGCTGTAACAAGAGCATGGGGACGCTAGCTCCCGGTGACAGCGTGGTTGAGCTGGATGTGATCTGTTTGACAGAGATATTCAACGACATACACACAGACCTACGTAAGCCTTGGACATGGACTGTGAAGCATACAACCAGCATAACGCGAGAACAGTGGTCAACTTGAGCTGATCATACTTCCTGGTCATCGCTGTGCCAGACCAGGCGAATGCGGGGGAAACGGTGGACCCATGTCTGCTGACTCGATGGGCAAGCAAAGTAAGAGCGTCACTTGAAGTCTTGGGCCCTTGCACCTCAGGCCTCTTGACACCCTACCATTTTGCGGGGCACAGGGTTTTTGGGACTTCATTGTGTGGTCTGAGATGTGAATGTCCCTCACTCGGTCACGGATCCCAAAGCAAGATCTTGTGATGAGCTGCACCACCTCCAATTTTGAACACCACATACAACAATCTAATTGAAAAAAATGGTAGCAAAACGCAAGAACATTTAATTCATCCGAAGAACCAGTTCATTGCAGCTACGGACACGCCGACCGGTCCATGCTCGTAGAGAGCTCGCAGCAGTGGCTCTTGGCCTAACATCACAAGCAAGCCGGAATGGCATCAGGCAAGCCGCCTCTTGCATCGGGACTGCATAAGCTCCAGGCGATTCGGAAGAAGTTTCTCCCATGCATGCAGGCCGAAAGCGAGACCCACAGAATCTGTTGCAGCACGATGAATTCGCGCGGATTGCAAGTCCTCGTGCCTTGAAGGCCATGACCGCTTGTGGGCTGACACTTAACTTCAACCCGAGCCTGGAAAACTCAAGGTCCGTGGAACTGCGATTAGGTCTTTCGATATTCCACGCAATCTTTAGCATCTCGGGACCTAGACACCAAACCAACCAATCAAACCACTCCGGACATGTTGCAAACAGAGAAGCGGACCCACGTCTACTAGTGTCCAGCTATAACTTTCAAGTTGCTCGTGCAAGTACGCAAGGGCGGCGAGGTCATCTTCGACCTGCGCCCGAGACTGGTTCTCTGTGTCCACGGCCTCGTCTCCACTATCCTGCGCCCAGTCATTGCACTCCTGACATATCCCTACTGGCCGCAGGCCCTATAGTCAAATTGTCGGGTCCAGAAGCATGAATGCATTCATTGTATCATCACAAGACGTTTGGGCCTCCCTCGTTTGGGCAGCGAGCTAGTGTTGGCTTTGGTCCTGATTGAAGGCTTGCCGGGCGAGCCTCAGACATTTCATATAGAGAGACGGGTGCGTCGGCCTTCTAATGCATCGTAGATGGCATCTGCATTCATCCAAGACTCTGAAGTGCACTTGCCGTGGCGGCGGAATGGGGCGGCAGCAAGCTACAGGCATGGTTCTTGCCCTGGTACGGCACGGCATTCTCTGACCGCAAGCCCATCTGCATGGCCTGTTTTGACACTGAGGCGGATCAAAAGCTTGATACACAAAAAAGAAGCTGAAAGTGCATCAAAGTCCTGCAAATGCTCTTCTGCCATCAGGTCACATAACTCATGGCCAACTCCACCGTTGCCCCGGAACAGCCGCCCTTGCCACCACAGTGCTTCGGATTCGGCACACAGTCCACAAGCTCCTGCTAGATTCAGATTTCCAGAGACAATGAAATCAAGCTGTGCACCACTACTGGCCTGAGCCGAGAAGCTCCGTCGCTGCCCGTTGATCTCTGCGTGCGCGCTCAGAACGACAGCGCTGGTCACCGCCCAGCAGGAGCCGCAGCCGCCCTGAATTAAGACCATCTCTGGCAAGCTCATCTCATTGTCAACTGATAAAGATGCCTGGTTTACGACGTCGCTGAGGGAAGCCAAGGAAGTCCAGTTGAACTGCTCTGGTAGGGAGCGCACCTGCAGAGGACGCTGACTCCCAGCATGTGAAGCATGCTGAGCTGCCCGCACCTGCACTAATGAGCTGCCGTCGTCTGCTGCTGGGGAAGCAACCCCGCGCCAGCCACGGAGGGCCTGGAGCTCCTCCTCGGAAAAGTCCTTGCAACGCAGAGCAGATGTGCCATTGGGAGCTATTGAAAGTCGGAACGAAGACGAGATCATGAAGCCTTCTTCTGATCTGCCACGGCACTGCAAGCGGCCCAAGGCCAGCAATCCAGCGGCGCGGGCGGCTGTTGAGCACTCGCACCTGGACTGAGCAACTGAGCTTCAACGTCTTCCTGCAAAAGCAAGCATGGGAAAGCCCTGTCACCTCCTCAGCACGGGCTTCGAAGATCTTCTGCCGATCCTCGAACTCCTGGATTTCTACTGCCACAAGCGTTTTATCCATGATGGATGCACTTTGTGTAGGGAGCTACCTGTGCACAGTGCAGATCTCCTGGGAGCCCGCTTCGTAGCCTCAACTAACAAGCGACGATGAAACTGAGAGGTCAAACCTTGAAGGTAAGGAGGGCATGAAGACTAAAACCAGGCCACTTCGCCCGAACAGTCGGACGAAAGCCTGGAAGTCCGAATCTTTTGCAGCGACGGTTAGAAACCATGGCCAGTACCAGCTCAGGCGCATGGCATGTGAAAGCACTTTCGGATTTGAGCGTAAAGGAGCTGCGAGAGCCACAGCCTCCTAGCTGGCTAGCGGCTAACACCGCGGAAGTCACACTCTGGCGGCCTCGCCAAGCTTGGCGACTGCAAGCTGAAGCTGCGAGTTTAGTTTCTCCTCGTTTAGGCAGCCTGCAAGACCAAAGTTATTTCATGTTCCGTCGGGTCCTCGGACGCAGCAAATCTGGCTGCCATCGTCGCCAGATGACGCTCTGCCTGGAATCAACTCTTCTACATATCTCTACATCACCAAGCCAGCTCCAAGCGCACCATCCCGCAACCTGCCTCCGCTGATAAGGCGGTAGTCGCGCGCTCACTTGCCGCTGAAACCTAGCTCAACCGAAAGTCTCGAAACACAAGGACAATGAGTGCAAATTCTGGGAATTCAGGGCTCCAACAGCTGACGATGTAGCTTGCAGAGCAGCAGCCTGGACAGATTCAAGCACCGTTACCGCCACAGAGAGCCTGGAAGACCCGCTACGTACCTGCTCAGCCATTGCTTCAGCCATGCTTTGCACCTTTCAGGGGGGGCTTGCTGTGGGAGTGTTGGAAACAGCTGAAATCAGCTGAATGCTTAGCTATCGGCTGAGGCTGCATGCTGCTCAACAGATGCGCCCTTTTCTCGCAAAGACTCAGCCTCAAACGGCCGTCGTTAAAAGCTGCATGCGGCAACATAACGGACAGAGGTCCCCACGTGAGTCTCCACGGCTTCCATCGTGCTTCCAGCTGACGAGGCATGTGCTTCAGCAGTTTCAGCCTGAGAGGTACTCTAGAGTGCAAACGGGCAGCCAAGAGGCTTCACTTTCTGTCCAGACACCCGAAAACATGCATTTGCCGTGCCTTCCTTAGGCATTGCAGCCGAAGGGCAGCTTTTGACGCAGCTTCTGCGGACTTGTGCACGTCGCGGGCATGATTCTCTGCAGCTGCGACCTGACTCACTCGGGCTCTGGCGGGCTATCAGGACATCAGGCCAAACATGCAATGCATGAGCAGGAAGTTTAAGATTTTGGGATGCGGTGCATGCCACACCCGATGCTATCAGGAGCATGTGACGGAAATCTGAATTCTGGATGACACAAGATTAGAGTGACTTGACTAAGGATACATGGCAAAGAACGGCGAAGGAAACAATGATGGTGCTGCTGCTGATGGGAATATGCTGGCAATCCCATGTCATATCATGGCCAATAGGCATATGGCCCATATCATGACTCTAAGCGGCTTGGAAAAAGGAACAGGGACACGCGGCCGACAAGAAGAAGACTTGGAAGGCCAATAAGGATACGAAGCAGGCAGAAAAGCAGGACAAATGCGTGCTCAAGAACAAGAACCGGCCCCACCTTTCCGTTGCGGACCTGAAGGAGGTCACATAGTGTACCAAGTATGGGGATGGGCATTGGAGAGATGAATGATGATGAACGCACACCCCAAAAATGCGGCTTTCGGCAAGAGAGCAGTATCATTTGTGTACCTACGACATCAAGGTCTTCAATGCGAACAACTTCACGGAGAACCTCCCGCAGCACATGGTGTTGCAGGACAAGCCAGCCCCTCGTTTCCCAATGTTAATTCTGATTCACTGCATTCTGAGAATTGTTCCTGGAGTCATCCGGTAGTTAAGGAGAATATCCCGGGCGCCAACGTTGACATGCAGACAACGCTTTCATGAGCTGGGATCACTGTCATTGAGCCTATGCTTCGTGTGCGCAGCGTGGTGGGGAACTATGCTCTTTTTGTGACAACATACATTTGAAAGCATCCTGAGGTCATACTTTCGAACGCTGTGTGCACAAGTAGTCAACCGACGGACATCAGATCTTTTTTGCTGGCTGTTGTTAAAATCGGCGCTCCTGCCTTCACGCAGGTTAAGAGCATTGGCATCCTTTCACTGAATATGCCAAAGAGCCAATAGATCCGATTGATACTGATCTGAACGAACCCCCTGCTGCCTCAGTCACTGAAGCGGACACGGGTGGCGAGCAAACCCATCTTTTCTGGAGTGAAAGGGCGCCAGAGGAGTTTAGACTGCGAGATTGGAAGGTGTGAGGGATCAAAAAAAACTGTTTAAGCATCAAAAAACATAAGCCCAGCGCATCAAAAAAACTTTTTAAGCATCAAGAAAACTTGTGCACTAAATTTAATCGGGGCCAGGACAAAGGGCAAGCATCAAAAAAAATTTTGTAGTAGAACTAGTACTCGGAAGCGTCCAGGACGTTTGCCCAGCGTCTGCGTGCTTGTAGGGAGCAGTGGTGCAGCAAATCGCAGTCATGGGTCTGCATATGTCTTGAGAGTGCTGAATCCAGATTGCACGAAATCATGGCAGGCGCAGTAGATTTGTAGTTTCGAACATTTGGAAGAAGGCTCCGTTGCCCAGATTAAACTCATGCTGTTGAAGTTTCCGCTGCTCATTATGCCTCCGCTCTTGCCTCTTCGAAAGTAGGAGTTGGAAGAGGCAGGTGCTGTAAGGGGTGTCAAAAGTGGG